TCAGGAAGATTACATACACCCCCATGAACAGCTATACAAATGAGGTTAATATGCTACTTGTGGTGGTCTTTTATTGTTTATATTTGTAAACAATGTGTTATCACAGCAATTGTGCTAAAATCAAGGTTATCCTGAGTATTATGGTGTGAATTAATATCCTATAAGAGGGTAGTGTGCAGTGACGCACACCAGGCATTAGCCAGTCTTGACTTTTAATATGTTCTCTATGAACAGATCTGTAAGGCCACAAATTAACATATACTATTCTGTAATAAGGAAATGCCTGTTGACCATACCAATAGTTCCTATACTACTACGGGCCGATTTGGCCAGCAATGATGCCTTTATGTCCAAGGTTTCACATACTTTCCTTAAATGCTCTGCAACTGTTGGAATGCACTTCACAAAACAAGCCTAAAGGGGTTACTCACAGGGTCAGTTATTGGCATTCCATGAAAGGAATCCTTTATTTAGATGCATTATCCCTACAGTGCTTTACAAATTAGCTGAATTTAGATATGTACTTAAAAAAAAAATAGGAAAAAATGTTCACTTTCAGTTGTTGTGTACTGATTGATTGGAAGATGTTTTCTGTTTGATACGGATTGCCATTCTGGGTTATGAAAGGCAGTGAATGTTTTACTGAGGTTTTCTTAAATTTTTTTTTTCCCCCTCAGGGATTGATCACAGCAGAAGACTTTGTACTCGAAAAATGCTTCCTTCCGACTGAGAACACGGTCATCTACATCTACTCTGTATCAAGCATGTTGCTGTTTCTCTATGCAGTGTTACAGTTGTATCTAATAAATGCTTTGAAAGCCCTCTTCATGCCCAAGGAAAAGCCAGTGTAAAGGAGGCATGTTCCATACTCAAGCCACGCCATATGGAAAACACTAGTTTGTTTTGTTCTCTAGAATAGACCAGTACATTTTACCAAATATATATTTATTAAATGATGTACCTGTACAATATGTGACTGTAACCTATACATTAAAGAAAGAAAATTCCTTCATTGATTTGATAGCCATATCTCCTCCAGGACCATACAGATGAGCCCTGTGTGGTTAAAGTCAGCCTGTGGACACTTTAACCTTCTGGTTTTGTTTTTTGTTTTAAATTTCACTTCTCAGGTCAACCTGGATATTAATGCTCAATGATACTTTTTATTAAATAAATATGATTGTCTATGATATTAATTGTATGTATGCCATTTTTATGTTTGATAAAACTTTAGCCTCAGTGAGAAAGGCAAGTGTTGTTATCACAAGTTTAGTATTTCAAAATGAATGACATAAATGGGGTAAGGGGTGGAATAATCCATGAGAGCTTAACACAGACAAAAATGTTGCCTACCATTATGAAGTGTACAGGTCTCCCTACAGACAAGCAGTTCTCAAACTTTATGGCCAGAGGAACAATGAATAATTACAGGGTTTATGACTTTGAGATGCAGAACACATCCCTACACATACCCATTAAAGTACATCCTCTCTTTACTTTGGTACTGATTCCTCTGTGGGCTGATGTGAGCCACACAGTGATGACTGCAATATGGGGCTCTAATATAAATATTATAAAAGTCACTCCAAGAGTCTTGTACAACTGTAGATTAGACATGAAGACAACTGTAAGCAATTTAACTTTGTCCAATGTCTTGAAGGTATCGCGTGGCACCTCCACTGCGCAAGTGGATAGGAAGGCAGCAATTGGAGGACTGACATTATTTAACAAATTTTAAGTGATGTTGTCTAGAAGGCTTGTCTTTACCACTGTTAACAGTAAGTGCAGACAATGTACAGGTTATCTTGGACACAGGTCATCTAGACTCACATACATAAAACACCTAAGTATAAAATATAAAGCAGTGTAATAATTACTAAAAAGGACATGCCTTATTGCTACAGCAGTTCTTGCTTTGTATATTTATATTATATATATATATATTTATATATTTATATATATATAGTATTGTACCACAACTTCTTTAGAGAACATTTGCATAAATTATTCAAGTTTGAGAAATAGTCACACATATCAATTCTATAATATTTAAAATAAACCAACTTTCTAATGTGTCTCTTTATTAAAAGAGAAATTAAAATGTCATCTTGTAATTTATCAGGTTAGACAAAGATTTCCACCTTTTTGTTTACCCTCCTCATCGTGCTATAGGCTTACACAACATCCACTGCTGCCATAAATGGAGCAAGCCTAAAACTGATGCTGCCATAGGGAACATTGACAGTATCTCTGTGGCAATACTGGGAATGTTGGATCCATGCAAATATGATCAAAAATTTCCTAAAAGAAATTAAAAAAAAACAAAAAACTCCTTGGTTCCCACTAAAACACCACTAGGCTGCAAATATGAACAAAGTAATGGATTCCAATAGATTTTTTTTTTTGTTTTAAAGCTGAGACTTCTTCACCTCCTTCCCGTGCCTGCACATAAAACAGAAGGAAAACAAAAAAAAGGCATGTTTGCTGCAACAACTGGTCATTGTAGGACCTTACTTGTAAAGGTAAGTGGTTAATTTGCATAATTTATACTTTTTTTTTTTGTTTTCTTTTTTTTTTGTACTAAAGAGCATTTCCTTCTTTTATATAAACCAGAAAAAAACTAAATTCTACAGATAGTTCCTACCTGCAGTCACAGCTGCAGGCAAGTTTGACATCAAGCTGTACAGCGCAATCAAAAACATACTTACATCTTAGCTCATTTTACAGGTACAGCCATAATCAAGGCACAAAGATCTTCTACAAGTATTATTTTTTTTTTCAATAAAGTTGTACAAAATAATATTACATTTTACATCTGTACATTATAATAAACCAGCAGTTAAACAAAATAAAAAAAAACTCTATGAAGGACTAAAGCCCAGTAATGATCTAAGGCTAAAAAGATCATCTGTGGACAGAGCATATAATATCGGTGCAGGTGGTCATTTTTTTTTTTTTTTTGCCTTGACGTGAGAGGCTGAAAGCAGCTGCAGTTTGAATGCCTGAGGTGTGCAGAAACACTTAGCCACAATATACCATAAAAATAAAAAATTAAAAAAAATGCTTGATTTTGCCTCTTCATTAACCTATGCTATGTATGGATTCTGGAACGTCCTTTAAACTCAGCATCACTGAAGGCTTGCAGTCCACTGCTCTGCAATGGACCACAAGCTCCCTCCTTCACCTGAAGGTGTTCAAGAGCTGAGGTCACTCCGTTGACCTGCAACTCACCATTGCAAAAATCTGTGACAATAATAAATATCTCTGGTGCTGCTACATTGTGTGTAACTTCATCTACTCTTTTTTTTTTTTCTTTTTCTTTTTTTTAACCTGATACAAAGTGCATTATTTCCTCCATCAAGTACTCTTCAGTGTCACGGTAAAGAAAAAGAGCTATAATAAGATAATAAAATCCACACAGGAATACGTCTGAGCATAGTGCCATCTAAAAGATGGGTGTACACTCCTAGGGCCTGAGCCCATAAGAGGTTAAAAAAAAAATGCTAAAGAACAGAGGTAGCCAAAGGCTTAGTGGAATGGTAACCTTTCTTGTTCAGAGAGCCACTTAAAGCAAAGCTACTGCTCAAATGTCTGTCCCTCCTCATTAAAAGAGGTTTCTCTAAAGCACACTACCCCAATCAGTGCGTATCACCCTGACCTCTAACAGGGTGGTGTCCATTGGCCTATCGATCCCTATTATACATATATTTATTAACATTAAAAGGTGCTGTCTTATATTTACTATGAGTTTTGATATTGCCTGTCATTGCACCTCACCTAGATCAACGGTCCTGTTCACCCCAGTGAACATCCAAGATCGCTGCTTGTTAAGAATTAAAAGGGATTTTTTTTAACTTGAATTTAAATGTGAATCCCTGTATCACATCACTTACTGCTTTTTGGAACCACACTATCAGAATTATCCTGCTACAATGCCAAAGTCATTGAATGCCACTGGACATGTTCATGCAGTTTTGTGTTCCCACAAAGTTCTAGGGACTTTTTTTTCTCTTCTTTCCCCCTTCTAAAACAGCTATTTTTTTCATTTCTGTCTACACTTAGGAGACCTGTAAATGTAGACTTCATATCATTAACACATATCTTGTGGGGATAGCGCTTTCAAATGGACACTAACCTTTTGTTATATCAAAACAGACTATGTTGACTTTCTTATTCGCCACAAATGCAACACATACTAAAAGATGCACTTATTGGCTCAATCTGTAAAGCAGTACAAAGCGATAATGATGATGATGTGCAAAATGCAATTACCCCATAAGAGTTCACTTTACTACAATCAGATCAGTGAGATGAATTCTGATAAGTTGCTATGGCTTGCCGTACTTTGCACAAACCTCTTTACCTTACTGAATCATCCTGTTGTGCTTACAGTAAGTCTGCAGTATGGACTATTCAAATATGCCTTAGTTCAAATTAAACAGATTAGTCGCTTGAGGAACCCAAGTCCTTTCTAGCAGAAGTTTGTAGAGCAAGTGAATCACCTATCCACTGCATGCTCAGCCTAGTAGTAAAGGGTGTACAGGGATTTGTACCTACAGAAAGGCTGCAGAAGTGATAGTCTGGGGCATACTACCTTACAGAACTTAGGAATGGCTTATGGCCCTGTCTTCTGCACAGGTGGCTGTGTAGGTGAGAATTGCTAAATTCGCTAAAGGTGCAGGCATTGCCATAATCTATGCCCAGAAACAGACCAATAGGGTCCTTAGTAGGGGAGTGAGCAGCACTTGTACAAAGGAATGGTTAAAAAATAAGTGTCCTGTGAAAAAATAAATAGTACAAGGACTCGAGCTGCCCTCTTTTGTAAAGGGAAATGAGACATTGGTAACAAAAAAAAAAAAATCTTGCTAAAAAAAAAATAAAAGCAAAGAAGCTTAGAAAAAAAGTGCGCCGTAGGGATGTTCCACCCTGTGTGGAGCAGTACAGAGGAAAGACAGAAAGTGGCAAAGGATTTAAAACCACAGGCTCCACAGTGAAAATGATTACAAGAGTTCATATTGGCGGAGGTGCATTCTCTGGATGATATCTCGACAGTCATTGAAAACTCTGCGAATGTTCTCAGTGTCTACGGCACAAGTAAAATGAGGATAGCAGTAATGTCTTCCATCTCCACTTGCTGTACTTATCCGCTGCACAGACAAAAGAAAACATTTTGTTTTATAAGCTGTCAGAATACGCTTCGATACATTCATTGAACATTATACATGTCACTTGGAGAAACATTTTGCTACAGATGAGGCCCCTTTCAGTACTGTTCTTTGCATTGAAAGACAATGAAAGCAAGATGTCTTTGAAGAAACATGTAATAAGAAATAGGGAGGCTACTTAATTTCTCCCAGCATTCATTGGAGGACACAGTATCTAAATTCTGGGTATTCACCTTGTCTCTAGAAGGAGGGAACACTAATCAATGCAAAGGCAACGCTCCTCCTCAGGGCTACACCCCTGCACATACACAGTCAGCTCAGTTTGAGGTAGGCCATCTATCTTCAGCTCTGCTGGATTAAAATATCTAATCTGAGGAATCCACAACAGTCTGACAGCTGCTGGTAATGTCATACAAGACCCTCAAAGTCTGGATATTTTTTTCCGCAGCCATACTGCTCAGCATCATACTGGTTCCTCCGATTTGGATATTCACTGATGCTTCGCTACACTTTGGTGGTGGGCTGGCTATGTACAGAGGATATGCTGTGTTCCCCTAGGCAGAGGTATGGGTGTCCATAACGCTTTATCAGAACTATTTTCTGTGTCTGGTGAAGCAGCAGCCATTTCCTCTGATAGCTTAGTAATAACATGAGTTCCCTGGCTTTCAAGCCGATCCCAATACTTTCTTTGTCACTGATCCTGGAACAAATGTACCTACCAGGAGTAGTTTATAGTGAAACCTTAGCTAGAAAAATGGTGAACAGGCAGGAATTTTAATGCAGAAGAGACATGCTTTGTCTCTTCTGCATCAAAGTTACTTACCTGCCTGTCCACCCCTGTACAGTGAGCCATGCATGTGCAGCTCACTGTACAAATTCAGCAATCCTGAATCTGACGGAACTCCAGCACATGCCCAGAAGACGGCCACCCGAAGAGGTCAGCGGCCAGGCAGGGAACAGTGGGACACTGCATCGCTGCAGCAGAAGTGAGTATAGTTCCACTTTAATGCGGAAAATAAATTAAGGTCAAAACTGTTCAGCCTTTAAGACCGCTTTAATTTTCCATAGAGCGGTGAGGGGTTAAAACCCATTAGGTTTTTATTATTGTTGCCCCATGGAAAGTTTCACCCTATTTGCCCTGTTGACCATCAAGCATTAAAACTAAAAGGGGAAAATCCCCCCGTTTCCAGTCATCACCAGGAATACAGCCACACTTGTTTCAGCGAATCTGCTTGAGAAGATTTCCCCAACTTTGGTAGCTTCTCTGTACTGCCAGGTAAAATGCATGTTAGAGGGAGGCAGGGCCGGTCAGGACTCAGGAAGTAGCCTTCTTCTGGAGGCAGAGAAACCAGTCAGTTTCTCAGCCAGTTAGCCTTTCTCAACTAGGATGCTGCGACAACCTGGTTAGGAAATGCTGGAGTAGTGAATGGCTAACCCCATGTCAGTGTTTTTTTTTCCATCTGTGTCCTGATGGGAAGATTTTCCATCATTTCCTGTCTTGTAGATCAAAGCCTTTCCAAAGTCAGGGAAATGCTCTGGGGAATATTCACTGAAACAAGTAAACAATGGGTAAAGTTAATCCAGGGAATATTAGATTGCGTCTCGGGGGATCAGGAAGGAATTTTTTCCCTGCAGGAGCCAAGTGGATCATGCTTTGCTGGGTTGTTTTGCCTTCCTCTGGATCAACTGTGGGTATAGGATTATGTTTTTTTTTTTTTTTAATGGTTGAACTGGATGGACTTTTGTCTTTTTTCAGCCAGACTAACTATGTAACAAGTGTTCCTCTATTCCATGGTGACAACTGAATACATGGGATTTTTTTTCCCCCCACTTTCAGTTTTTGTGTGGGTCCCACAAACAGGGACCCCTTCCATACACTGATGTCAAATCAGGAGCAGTGGCTGTATACATGCAGCAGCTGCATCCCAATACATATGAATAGGGATTCCCACATGCAGATGCACAGAACACTTGCGGGCAAACACAGCTCTCACATTGGTATATGCTAAGTACACCTGTGTGGACAAAGCTTAAGGCCCCATTCACATCTTGGATCTCAGGCAGAATCACTGTAATAATAGCCTTGATCTCAAATTGCACTGCTATAGTGGCAAAATGCACCAAATGTGTTTGGGTGTCATTCATTTTCAATGGCAGCTAAACGTGGTGCAGTTTTGGCGCAATTGGCGAGCGATAAATCACACTGCAATTACGGAGAACCATAACACGTGAAGCTTGACACCCAAAAGAAGCTCTTGCTCCTTTTTGGGTGGCAAATGTTTCACAATGAGGTTTATCGCATGACAATTGCAAAATGCAGTGTTTAGGTGTCACTGAAAATGAATGGCACCCGAATATGCATGATGCATTTTGCCACTATTGCAGTGCAATTTGGGATTGCAGTGCATCTGCCTGAGATCCCAATACACCAGATATATATGAACAGGGCCTTACTCCTGACCCCTACACTGTGTATTATCAGAACTGATTTTCTAAACTATCAGGACTGCTTTTTAAGACTGGGGGTAAAAAAGGTTGAGAAACACTGCCCTACTCTATCTAATATTATTCATATTTATATACACACAAGCACACTTTTAACATCTGGGGCAAACATGAGGTCTGTTTTACTGTGTGCTGTGTGTGTTTTACTATGCAGAGCAATAAAAAGCAGCATGGTGGTGCCGGAAGGGGAGAGATCTGTATTGTTTACATACAGATCTCTCCCCTGTCAGTGTTCCTTGGTGATTGCCGGATGCTGGTGAGGAATCTCTGGCCAGGACCTGATGATCGACAGCTGTAGCAGCCAATTGCGGCGCAGGTAGAGCGGCACGCACCCCCTACCTGGAAATGCAAAATCAAATATATATACGTGATTTTGTGCAGCCCTGCAGCATTAGTTCTGCTACAGGGCGGTCAGGAAGTGGTTAACAGAAGGCTTCATATAGTGTTAAGTGTTTCTGTGAATATGGTTTCCGGATTATTCAAAATAAATACATTTAAAGTTATTGTAAATGCTTTTTTTTCTTTGTTAAAAACAACAAACAGGTTTATACTTACCTGCTGTGTGTGCAATGGAATTACACAGAGTGGCCCTAAACCTCCTCTTCTCAGGTCCTCTGCCGGCGCTCCTGGGTCCTTCCCTCCACCTCCCTTCAGGCGGGCTCATTCCTGAGCCTCGCTGTCTGCATCTATTGGTACAGACAGCTGGACTCAGCTCCGCCTCACTGTGATGTGATGGGAGAGAAGAGCTGCACGTGGGCACAGCATTGGATTGAATGAGGGCTCATGTAGGTAAAGGGGAAGGGTGTTATACTGCTGCCTAAGCATTTTTTGCCTTAAAGCAAAGAGTGCATCAAGGTAAACAATATTTAGGCTTTAGAACCACTTTGACCACTTGCCCTCTTGAGGATTTATTCCTTTCTATCACATTGCTTGAGGTGCTAAAATGCCAGGGCAGTACAACCCCCCCCCCCCCCCCAAATGACCCCTTTTTGGAAAGCAGACACCCCAAGGATTTTGTAGAGAGGCATGCTGAGTTTCTTTGCCACAAAGTTTTCGAAAATGACTATTTTTTTGTTTTTCTTACACAAAGTTGTCACTTAAATGATATATTGCTCATGCATGCCATGGGTAGATGTGGAATAACACCCCAAAACACATTCTCCTACTTCTCCAGAGTATGGGGATACCATATACGAGAGACTTTTTGTCAGCCTAGCTACATACAGGCCCCCAAAATCCAATGGACCACCTCTAGGCTTTCAAAGGGCATATTTCCTCATATCACTTCCCCACTACCTATTACAGTTTCGGAGGCTCTAAAATGCCAGGATAGTACAAACACACCCCCCCCCCCCAATGACCCCTTTTTGGAAAGTAGACACCCCAAGGAATTTGATAAGCGGCATGGTGAGTATTTTACAGATAGCATTTTTGTCACAGGGTTTTTGAAATAATACATTCTTGTTTTCTTTCTTCATTTTCCAAAAACGTGGCAACAAATGAGATCTGCAAAACACTCACCATGCCTCTCAGCAAATAATGGAGTTTCTACTTTCCCAAAAGGGGTCATTTGGAGAGTTTGCCTCTACTATCCTGGCATTTCAGGGCCAACATTAGAAGCTTATGCCACACATCACCCACTCTTGAAGACCAAGCATTTTCTGACACTTTTTGTTCACATGAAAAAACAGTATTTTTTGCTAGAAAATTACTTTGAACCCCCAAACATTTATTATTTTTTAAATAAGAGGCCCTAGAGAATAAAACGGTGGGTGTTGAAATGTTTTAAGTCACACAGTATTTGCGCAATGATTTTTCAAACGCAAATCTTTTGGGGAAAAATACACTTTTTAGAATTTTAATGCACAAAAACACAGTATATTGCCCAATTGTTTGATAGAATATAAAAGATGATGTCACACCGAGTAAACAGATACCAAACATGACATGCTTTAAAACTGCGCATGCCCATCCAATGGCGACAAAGTACATACATTTTTAATATCGATAGGTGATGCTTTAAAAGCCTTTACAGGTCACCAATTTATATTTACAAGGTCTAGTGTTAGAATTACTGCCCTCGATCTGACGTTCGCTGCGATACCTCACATGTATGGTGCATCCGCTGTTTACATACTGGCACAGAGTCACTACTTGCGCACGCAGCTGTGTGTGCGTGGGTAGGGGGGACCAGGGTGCTTTTTTTTTAAGTTATTTAGATTTTTTCATTTTTTTCACACTTTCCCTTTCATTTTATTTTTCTTGCTATCACAGGGAATTAAAATATCCCGTGACTGCAATAGGTATTGACAGGTATTCTTTTTTGAGAAATCTGCCCTTACATCATCTGATCTCTCACCAAGATTGGTGTGATCAGATGCTTTCCCAATTTTCAAAATGGCGCTGTTAAAGTCCGGCGCAACGGAAATTATGAAATGCTCGTAGCTTCCGGTCTCTTAGACCAGCCTTTCTCAACCAGGGTGCCCAGGACCCTGGGGTGCCTTGAGGTCTGTCCAGGGTTGCCTTGGCAGAATGTGCAAAATGTGTAAAAATTGCCCAAGACTTGTATACAAGACGGGGTTAAAGAAGCCTGCCTTTTAGTTACACAAAGCCCCAGGTTTTCATTGTGCACCATTATGACCTTCTAGCCGTCGGTGTCCTGACAACCAATGACATCCTCAGTTTATAAGGAGGATGTCAGTTGTCTGCACAGCATCCTAGTTTGACCCTCCCCTGCCGCTCTCCATCAGTGCTGGGGTCACATTAGCTCAGTGATGGAGAAAAACTGATGGAGAAGAGAAACACTGGAATACTAGTCAATATCAATGTGCAAAAGTGTATTTGCTTTGGAAGAATAAATCACATCTAAATGTTGGGCGTCCTACATGTATGGATGTTGCTGAGTTATATAAAACTATTAGATTAATTTTAAAGGGTGCCTCGGGACTGTCCAAAATTTTAAAGGGTGCCTTGACTGAAAAAAGGTTGAGAAACACTTAGAACATAGAGATGATTGGAACCATTTTGGTCTCTGATCAGCTCTATAGTCAGCCAGGGGAACTGCCGGTTGCATTCTCAGATTCCCCTAAATGCACATAAGCTTTTTTCCATGCGCTTTTTCTGCTCAAACAGCAGCTCTCCACCCCTTTTTCAGCAGCACTCTGCACCTTTTCGTTGAAAAATGCCTGAAATACGCCTGACAAAAGCTGCAAAAACGTGCAATTTTTCGCCAAAAATGCTTAAAAATGTGACACTTAGATGTGAATGTAGCCTAAAGCCTAACTAAGCTTTCAGTTTAAAACAAAAAAAACTTCAGTTGAATCAAAACTAAAGTTGTGCCAAGTCCTACAATTATTTCTTTAGAAAGCAGCCAATGCCCAGCCCGAAAAGCCTGTTTGGTAGGTTTTTTAGACTAAAAGTTCAATTGGGCTTTAACACACTTTGCTATTAGAAAATTCAGGTTTGTGGACTGCTGACCATACAATTAACTAGAGAAATGTTCTGTTTACTGTAACATTACTTACTAAAAATTCATCTCGGATGAAGAACTTAGCTCTGGTCACTTTGGGATCCTCTCCTGCGTCTGGTATCGCTATAAGATAAAATGGAACGCATGAGATGTAATATTAGCAAAGAAATCGATCAGAAATTCCTGTTACACTGCCTGTGGTTGCTTACTGGATATTTACACAGAGAATTGATGACAGTGAAGGGCTTTAGGGGGTTACATTGTAAAAACTGGAAGCCACCAGTCCTTTTACTACCAAATGTTGCATTGTTCTGGAGCAACAACTTGGAGTATTGATATCTGAAAATCCAACCTGGCCAGGTTTAGGTGCTCACAGGAGAGTTTGAGAAAAATAAACGGCATCTTTCAGATCTGTTTTACACTATTATTTTACTCTCAGACCTTTATTATGCACAACATGTTTACTTTAAAACAGTCAGGCAGATATAAAATACACAGATTACTGCAGTTCTCTATTTATTAATACATCGCTAAATGTATTTGGTTTTCTAAATGCAAGCGGTGTAGGACCAGAATCAGGGTTAGCATTGGCCACCCAGTACAGTGGAGCTTAGACTGGGGAATGGAGAAGCAGCACAAAGCTAATCAGTCTGCTGCTTCTTTCACTGTCTAATCACAGGCTGAGAGAGAGAAAAGACCTGTAAGTGTTACCGAACAGCAGAAAAATTAGGCACCTCCCCTGCCCGACAGGGCTGTGCTGTACAGCAAAGCTGTGTAAGTCTCAAGACTGGAAGGATATGAAATACAAATCCTTTAGAACACGGGTGTCAAACCTGCAGCCCTCCAGCTGTTGCCAAACTACAAGTCTCATCAGGCATTGCAAGATTGACAGTTACAAGCATGACTCCCAAAGGAAGAGGCATGATGGGATTTGTAGTTTCGCAACAGCTGGAGGGCTACCAGTTTGACACCCCTGCTTTAGAAGGTAAAACAGTCTTAGTCTCAGTATCTATCTATCTATCTATCTATCTATCTATCTATCTATCTATCTATCTATCAAGAATTTTTCCTGGAGTCCAGCTTTAAAAGTCCTCACTATAGAAGCTGTGAGAGCAAAGAACTTGTATAATCAGTCACAAGATATACACAATAGAAACATAGTAGGGACACCACACAGCCATGTTATGAACACCATAGCCTAAAGAAATGTGTAAGCAGTCCTTTGCTTTTCTTCCCTGTATTCCCAATGCAAATGCCATTTATATCCATGTATACAAACCCTTTATCTTTGTGCTTACCATCATCAGGTACAGTGTAGCGCACATATTCTGGGAAGTAATCTTCTATTTTTGATTTTCCTGCCAAGACTTTTTCAGCCAACATGTCTTGTTTGTTCAAGAACAAAATTACAGAAATAGTTCGTAACCACCTGCAAAGAACAAAATGTGTTTTATGGATCTTTTATACTGACAGGAGTGCTACATGGGAAACTCTAGCTGGTTACCTCTGCAATACCCATAGTATGTGTTTGGTGGCACACAGCTCTGAACTACTGTTTATGATGTTGGGGGTCCCAAAGTTACAATACAGCCAAGATCCCTGCAGCCCCAGCTTGTTTTGGCAGGTTCATAAGGTAGTTTTTTAGTACTATTTTATAAATTTAAATGATTTATTACATTTTTTTTCTATTTGTCAAAACAGAAAACTAGCAAGTACTTATGTGTTTCTGAATCTCAAATTAATGATGTTGAGCCAGCATGCCAAATACTCCAAGTCTCATAGTTATGAGGGTGTCTTCTCAGCGAGATTTAGGCTACTCTACGTTCCCCAGATCTCACCATGCGGAGGATGATGTCCCTCTCACCTAGATGCTGTGGATGGAAGGGTTCGTATATTATCTAACAATTTTTTCACCCCAGAGGTTGTTGTTTACACTTTTAATCAGAGGGGTGCATTTTAGGTGCAAGATACGCTTTAATGATCCAACAGAAGAAAAAGACAAAATGCTGACATTAAAGCGGGAATCTTCACTCTCTTAATCAATATGGACTATCTGTAATCCTCATGCTGCCAGCATTAGTAAATAGACAGGAAAGTATATCATATTTCCTTGTTTTACACCTTTTTTCTTTACATTTCTTAAATTACTTCCTGGTTTCTAGGCCTAAGCAAATGACATCATACATCCCAGGTTCCTTTAGGAGGGGTAGAGGGGTTTTCTCAGCTAAGCACACCCTCCTGCCTGCATGCCTAACTAAGGGCAGATGGATTCCAGGAAGTAAATGCTACATGAATCATCTGCCCTTACTCAAAATGGCCATGGCCTGAAATGCTAAGGGGTGTTTTTAAGATGATATCTCAGCAAAATAAAGCACGAGACATGGATGGATGGGGAGCTTTTAATATTACAAATGAATCAACCTGTGCTTTTGGTTTGTGTTGCTCAGGTGCACTGTAGTTCTGCTTTAATTATCCTTACCAATACAGAATATGTCCATGCAAGTTTAATGCTTACATTTGAATGCTGGCTTTACTAAGAAAAGCATTATAAATAATGCATGGATTTGTATACAGTAAATAAATCAAGAAAAAAGGGCCAAAACGATATCTAAGTGTCAGCATGTTGCAGTGTGCAATGTTGGCTCAATTATCAGTAGTCAGATGCAGCCTAGAAAAGCTGACCTTCAAATTTCTCTACAGAAACCAGAAAAGAGTTGTTTGAAAACCATGGAGAGGCTTCTAGCTAGGGCTACAATATAGGTGCACTAAGTCGCCATTTTAGGAAATCTACATAACAAAAGGAAGACTTAAGCTGCTTATATACGGAGCAATTTTGAACCAGCCAAACTTCACTTTGTGGGCAGCCCTGTTGGCACCTCCTGATTAAACATTTGAAGGAGAATTGTTGGCCTAACAAAAGCTGTATCCAATCAGATGCAGCTGCTATTGGTGTGTTCTGATGACATTCACCAGCAGCTGTCAGAATACAATAGCCGGCACTGCAGATTTTTCCATCTGCTGTGTGGATGGAGAAATATATTTGATTTTTTCAGTTCAGCCTGCAGGCTGCTGAATCAAAAAAAAAAACATCTATTAGAGCAGCGGTTCTCAACCTGGGGGTTGCGACCCCTTTGGGGGTCGAACGACCATTTCCCAGGGATCGCCTAAGACCATCGGAAAACACATATTTCCGATGGTCTTAGGAACCGAGACACCGCTGCAGTCTCCGGCGATGTGTGGGCGGGATGATACGCTGCTGTCACCTGGCCACACCTCCGGGATCGCTCAGCAGCTCCGCCTCCTCGCCGCTGATTGGCCACCGGAACTGTAGCTCAGGAGAGGCACACAGGCGGCCAATCACCGGTGAGGAGGTGGAGCTTGGAGAGGAGGAGCCGAGCGGCAGCGCGCGTACATCAAAGAAGACCGAGGGAGCTGCCGGAGCGAGTGAAGAGGAGAGCGGCCAGAGAAGGAAGACAGCTGACAGGTAAGTGAGAGAGCGAGCCCAGGCTGGAGCAGGGGTCAGCAAAGTAAGTATCATTGGTGTCAGTGGGAGGAATAGTGCCCCATCATTTGTGTCACTAATACCAACGATGGGGCACTATTCCTCCCCCACTGACACCAACGATGGGGCACTATTCCTCCCCCCACTGACACCAACGATGGGGCACTATTCCTCCCCCCACTGACACCAACGATGGGGCACTATTCCTCCCCCCACTGACACCAACGATGGGGCACTATCCTCCCCCCACTGACACCAACGATGGGGCACTATTCCTCCCCCCACTGACACCAACGATGGGGCACTATTCCTCCCCCCACTGACACCAACGATGGGGCACTATTCCTCCCCCCACTGACACCAACGATGGGGCACTATTCCTCCCCCCACTGACACCAACGATGGGGCACTATTCCTCCCCCCACTGACACCAACGATGGGCACTATTCCTCCCCCCACTGACACCAACGATGGGGCACTATTCCTCCCCCCACTGACACCAACGATGGGGCACTATCCTCCCCCCACTGACACCAACGATGGGGCACTATTCCTCCCCCCACTGACACCAACGATGGGGCACTATTCCTCCCCCCACTGACACCAACGATGGGGCACTATTCCTCCCCCCACTGACACCAACGATGGGGCACTATTCCTCCCCCCACTGACACCAACGATGGGGCACTATTCCTCCCCCCACTGACACCAACGATGGGGCACAGTATTCCTCCCCCCACCACAAACCGATGTGGCACTGACACCAACGATGATGGGCACTATTCCTCCCCCCACTGACACCAACGATGGGGCACTATTCCTCCCCCCACTGACACCAACGATGGGGCAGTATTCCTCCCCCCACTGACACCAACGATGGGGCAGTATTCCTCCCCCCACTGACACCAACGATGGGGCACTATTCCTCCCCCCCCACTGACACCAACGATGGGGCACTATTCCTCCCCCACTGACACCAATGATGGGGCACTATTCTCCCCTCCACCACACTGACATCAATGATGGGGCACTATTCCTCCCACTGACACCAATGATGGGGCACTATTCCTCCCCCCACTGACACAACGATGGGACACTATTTCCCCCCCCCCCTGACCCCAATGATGGGGCACTATTCTCCCCTCCACCACAGTGACATCAATGATGGGGCACTATTCCTCCCACTGACACCAATGATGGGGCACTATTCCTCCCACTGACACCAATGATGTGGCACTATTCCTCCCACTGACACCAGTGATGGGGCACTACTCCCACTGACACCAGTGATGGGGCACTACTCCCCCCACTGACACCAGTGATGGGGCACTACTCCCCCCACTGACACCAGTGATGGGGCACTACTCCTCCCACTGACACCAATGATGGGGCACTACTCCCCCCACTGACACCAATGATGGGGCACTACTCCCCCCACTGACACCAATGATGGGGCACTACTCCCCCCACTGACACCAATGATGGGGCACTACTCCCCCCACTGACACCAATGATGGGGCACTATTCCTCCCACTGACACCAATGATGTGGCACTATTCCTCCCACTTACACCAGTGATGGAGCACTACTCCTCCCACTGACACCAGTGATGGGGCACTACTCCCCCCACTGACACCAGTGATGGAGCACTACTCCCCCCACTGACACCAATGATGGGGCACTACTCCCCCCACTGACACCAATGATGGGGCACTACTCCTCCCACTGACACCAATGATGGGGCACTACTCCTCCCACTGACACCAATGATGGGGCACTACTCCTCCCACTGACACCAATGATGGGGCACTATTCCTCCCACTGACACCAATGATGTGGCACTATTCCTCCCACTGACACCAATGATGGGGCACTACTCCTCCCACTGACACCAATGATGGGGCACTACTCCTCCCACTGACACCAATGATGGGGCACTACTCCTCCCACTGACACCAATGATGGGGCACTATTATTCCTCCCACTGACACCAATGATGTGGCACTATTCCTCCCACTGACACCAGTGATGGAGCACTACTCCCCCCACTGACACCAGTGATGGGGCACTACTCCCCCCACTGACACCAGTGATGGAGCACTACTCCCCCCATTGACACCAATGATGGGGCACTACTCCCCCCACTGACACCAATGATGGGGCACTATTCCTCCCACTGACTCCAACGATGGGGCACTATTCCTCCCACTGACTCCAACGATGGGGCACTATTCTCCTCCCACTGACACCAACGATGGGGCACTATTCCTCCACTGACACCAACGATGGGGCACTATTCCTCCCACTGACACCAACGATGGGGCACTATTCCTCCCACTGACACCAACGATGGGGCACTATTCCTCCCACTGACACCAACGATGGGGCACTATTCCTCCCACTGACACCAACGATGGGGCACTATTCCTCCCACTGACACCAACGATGGGGCACTATTCCTCCCACTGACACCAACGATGGGGCACTATTCCTCACCAACGATGGGGCACTATTCCTCCCACTGACACCAACGATGGGGCACTATTCCTCCCACTGACACCAACGATGGGGCACTATTCCTCCCACTGACACCAACGATGGGGCACTATTCCTCCCACTGACACCAACGATGGGGCACTATTCCTCCCACTGACACCAACGATGGGGCACTATTCCTCCCACTGACACCAACGATGGGGCACTATTCCTCCCACTGACACCAACGATGGGGCACTATTCCTCCCACTGACACCAGTGATGGGGCACTATTCCTCCCACTGACACCAGTGATGGGGCACTATTCCTCCCACTGACATCAGTGATGGGGCACTATTCCTCCCACTGATACCAATGATGGGGCACTATTCCTCCCACTGATACCAATGATGGGGCATTGGTATCAGTGCCCCATCACTGACATCAGTGATGGGCACTATTCCTCCCACTGACACCAACGATGGGGCACTATTCCTCCCACTGATACAATGATGGGGCACTATTCATCCCACTGACATCAATGATGGGGCACTATTCCTCCCACTGATACCAACGATGGGGCACTATTCCTCCCACTGATACCAACAATGGGGCACTATTCATCCCACTGACATCAGTGATGGGGCACTACTCCTTCCACTGACACCAATGACGTGGCACTACTCCTCCCACTGCAAAATTACAGTTATGAAGTAGCAATGAAAATAATTTTATGGTTGGGCGTCACCACAACATGAGGAACTGTATTAAGGGGTCGCGGCATTAGAAAGGTTGAGAACCACTGTATTAGAGTATGGCCAACTTTACTCAAAAGGAGTCATGTTCATGAATGTCTGAGATTTGGCGAAAAACATAACACACCACAGCACACAACATTGCAGCTAAGCAGCTGATGTAATCTGGCTGAGATCAGCACAGCGATGAAGCAGTGAGCTTGGCTAATTGCACCGTATGGTCCCCATGTGCTTCTATGCATGCCTGACAATGTCGGGGCATGCTCCTCCCAGATCTGGACCAGGGCATCACTGAGCTCCTGGACAGTCTAAGGTGCAACCTGATGGTGTCGGATGGACTGCAACATGATAATCCAGAGGTGTTCTACTGGATTTAGGTCAGGCGAGTGTGGGGGGCCATTCAATGGTATCAATTCCTTCATCCTCCAGAAAATGCCTGCATACTCTCACCACATGAAGTTGGGCATTGTTGTGCACCAGGAGGAAGCCAGGCCCCACTGCACCAGCAATAGGGTCTGACAATGGGTCCTAGGATTTCATCCCGATACCTTATGGCAGTCAGGGTGCCATTGTCTAGCCCAAGGGTCTCCAAACTTTCCAAACAAAGGGCCAGTTTACTGTCCTTCAAACTTTAGAGAGGCTGGATTGTGGCCAGTGGGAGAAGAATATGTCCTGGTGTCAGTGGGAGTAAACAATGCCCCATCATTGGTATTAGGGGAAGGAATAGTGTCCCATCATTGCTATTAGGGGGAAGAATAGTGTCCCATCTTTGGTTTCAATAAGAGAAATAGTGTCCCATCATTGTCAATAGAAGGAATAGTGCCCCATCATTGGTGTCAATGGGAGAAATAGAGCCCCATGATTTGTGTCAATAGGAGAAATACTGCCCCATGATTGGTGCCAATAGGAGAAATAGTGCCCCAGTGGCCTGCTGGAGGTAATTTTGTAGGGCTCTGGCATTGCTCATCCTGTACCTCCTTGCACAAAGGAGCAGATACCGGTCCTGCTGATGGGTTAAGGACCTTCTATGGCCCTGTCCAGCTCTCCTAGACTAACTGCCTGTCTCCTGGAATCTCCTCCATGCTCTTGAGACTGTCAGTGTCCTCCACCTGTAAAACCATTCCTGTTTTGGAGGTCATCTCATTGTTACCCATCTAGTGCACCTGTTGTTAATTTCATTAACACCAAAGCAGCTGAAACTGATTAACAACCCCCTCTGTTACTTAATGGACCAGATCAATATCCCAGGAGTTTAATTCACTTGATGCTATACTCTGATTAAAAAGTGTCCCTTTAATTTTTTTGAGCAGTGTATATATTTTATATACAGTGGGGCAAAAAAGTATTTAGTCAGCCACCAATTGTGCAAGTTCTCCCACTTAAAAAGATGAGAGAGGCCTGTAATTGGTATCATAGGTAGACCTCAACTATGAGAAACAAAATGAGAAAAAAGATCCAGACAATCACATTGGCTGATTTGGAAAGAATTTATTTGCAAATTATGGTGGAAAATAAGTATTTGGCCACCTATAAACAAGCAAGATTTCTGGCTCTCACAGACTTGTGTACCTTCTTCTTTAAGAGGCTCCTCTGTCCTGCACTCATTACCTGTATCAATGGCACCTGTTTGAACTTGTTATCAGTATAAAAGACACCTGTCCACAACCTCAAACAGTCACACTCCAAACTCCACTATGGTGAAGACTAAAGAGCTGTCGAAGGACACCAGAAACAAAATTGTAGACCTGCACCAGGCTGGGAAGACTGAATCTGCAATAGGCAAGCAGCTTGGTGTGAACAAATCAACTGTGGGAGCAATAATTAGAAAATGGAAGACATACCAGACCACTGATAATCTCCCTCAATCTGGGGCTCCATGCAAGATCTCACGCCGTGGGGTCAAAATGATCACAAGAACGGTGAGCAAAAAACCCAGGACCACACGGGGGGGACCTAGTGAATGACCTGCAGAGAGCTGGGACCAACGTAACAAAGGCTACCATCAGAAACACATTACGCCGCCAGGGACTCGGATCCTGCAGTGCCAGACGTGTTCCCCTGCTTAAGCCAGTACATGTCCGGGTCCGTCTGAAGTTTGCTAGAGAGCATTTGGATGATCCAGAAGAGGATTGGGAGAATGTCATATGGTCAGATGAAACCAAAATAGAACTGTTTGGTAGAGACACAACTCGTCGTGTTTGGAGGAGAGAGAATGCTGAGTTGCATCCAAAGAACACCATACCTACTGTGAAGCATGGGGGTGGCAACATCATGCTTTGGGGCTGTTTCTCCACAAAGGGACCAGGACGACTGATTCATGTACAGGACAGAATGAATGTGGCCATGTATCGTGAGATTTTGAGTGCAAACCTCCTTCCATCAGCAAGGGCATTGAAGATGAAACGTGGCTGGGTCTTCCAACATGACAATGATCCCAAACATACCGCCCGGGCAACGAAGGAGCGGCTTCGTAAGAAGCATTTCAAGGTCCTGGAGTGGCCTAGCCAGTGTCCAGATCTCAACCCCATAGAAAACCTTTGGAGGGAGTTGAAAGTCCGTGTTGCCCAGCGACAGCCCCAAAACATCACTGCTCTAGAGGAGATCTGCATGGAGGAATGGGCCAACATACCAGCAACAGTGTGTGCCAACCTTGTGAAGACTTACAGGAAACGTTTGACCTCTATCATTGCCAACAAAGGATATATAACAAAGTATTGAGATGAACTTTTGATATTGACCAAATACTTATTTTCCACTGTAATTTGTAAATAAATTCTTTCCAAATCAGCCAATGTGATTGTCTGGATTTTGTTTCTCATTTTGTCTCTCATAGTTGAGGTCTACCTATGATGCCAATTACAGGCCTCTCTCATCTTTTTAAGTGGGAGAACTTGCACAATTGGTGGCTGACTAAATACTTTTTAGCCCCACTGTACCTGTGCACATAAACTCTGCTTACACCAGCAGCAGCATTATGCTGGTGGGTTTTCCTTTAACCTGTTTGAGTCAGCTAACCAGGACAACCTGTAGAAAATCATAACAATTTATATGAGGTCTTCAAAATAAAATAAACACACAATTTATTATTCGTTAATGTGACTGGATTGGCCAAGGGGCTGCATACTTCTGCAAGCTAAAATACTTTCCTGTGAACTGCAATCATTTCCCTTGTTAGAAAGTCCTCAGGATTCGATTATCTGAGGTCTGCTGACACCAAGTGGCCAAACAGCAAACTGCAACCTTTTCTGTTACATTTTAGATCTCACGCATAAAAAAAATGCATTCAATTTTATTGTCTCAAGAATTCCTGACTACAGTTTCTAAAATGACCGACTAGACAGGAAGGGGTTTATTTACTAAAGCTGGGGAATGCAAAATCAGGCTCGCTTCTGCATAGAAACCAATCAGCTTCCAGGTTTTATTGCCAAAGCTTAATTGAACAAGCTGAGGTTAGAAGCTGATTGGTTAGAAGCTGAAGTGAGCCTAATTGTGAACTCTCTAGCTTTAGTAAGTAAACCCCAAAGTGTCAAGTACAGTCTGGGTTGAAAGTGAAGCATTGCTAGCAAGGTCATACTTACTTCATCAAGTAGACACACCCAGGCCATAGTTTGAAACACGCTGAGTTTGCATTCACCTTGTTATTGGGGAGGGGGTTTCTAGTTCACCCAAATATTTAGCCAATCCATTCTTGATATACAAAAGACAGCTTGTAAGTTTGTATATCTTGCAGGTTTATACCATATCTTTTAAATACTAATCCCTCCTGAATGGTCCACCTTGGGCTACAGACACCCTCTGCATAGAGTTTGTGCACTCTGCTCATATTAGCATGTTTTCATACTCCAATTTTCTTCTCAAATACAAATATAATTGCGGACAAACTGGCATCCAACCAGACAGGCCCTGTGAGTGTGACAAGGACATTAGGTCTCTTCTCGGGCAAGGCCTGTACCAATGGTTTTGTGAGTGCCTTATAATTATGGGAAACAAACCTGACTTAACTTAGAACTGGGACTTTTGTTTTATGTAGGTCAACGCCACTGACCTGATGATATCCTGTTCATTTAAGTATTCCAGGTCCCCAACTAAATACTATGAAAAGATTATCTGTGTGTGAGACCCTGGAAGTGCCCAGGTGATCCTAAAGGAATCTTTTCACTATACCTGTTGTTCCAGATACTTTTGAACAGGTCCAGTGCTTCTCGTAGTCTGTTTGTGTTATTGTCTTCCCGTATGACCATATTGTAGCTGCTACTGGCAACTACAAAAATGATAGCTGTGACATCTAGAAGAGAACAGAAAGATACAATTTGTCATTTACCAGCATCATTTACATAAAAGCAAACCGGGTGTCTACACCTATTGAAGTGCACCCATTAGTTCTGAGCACCACAGATGTTTTTTCAAGGACTAAGATATTGGAACAGCTTATAATGTTACAAAGTGCCAAAATGTTTGCCCAAGTGTTAAAAATGAATTGTGTTGATAATTCACTGTCACGTAAAATGAATAAAATCAGCAGTGCCAAAAATGTCATACAAGGTCAGCCTTGTGTAACCACACTCTAGAAGTATAAAGCACACTATATTTTAAAATGCCCTAAAACTCAAATATGTATTTTTCACTTAAGCAGGACATGTTGCTATTAAAAATAATTAATTGTACATACAAAACAAACATCCATAAAAAGTCATCTTTTCTAGAATATTGTCCAGCCTCAAGAACTGGCAACAAGGAGTTAGACATTTTAGATATACATAAATGTACAATTAGTTGCAAAAAGACACGGTGAGAACTTAGAAAATGTCTGGATTTCTGCACATTTGGCTTCTACGGACTATTAGATTTTAATCTTTCTCATAATAAAAACAAAATCAGAATGATCTGACAGACTCACAGATTTTACATACAGTATGTCCATAAAATGAGTCATGTGGGGCAATGAACTAAAACTGGATAGCTCTTTGTCATTACAAATAAAAAATATATATTCTGAGCACTAGGTGGAGATATATGCCGTCCTGAAATTTACACAAGAACACTAACCGATACAATAGGAACACACTGTACAAAATTACTGCACAGCTTATAAAAAGTTATGGAGAAGGGGACTCAAAGAAACAATTTCTAAATCATCCTGAACCACAGAGTGACCAAATGTGAAAAAAAAACCCTGGAGTTTTCGACTTACCTTAAAGTGTTACTAAACCCAGGACCCTGCATTCACTATATCTGGTCTCCCACAGTACACAGAACATGGAAATGCAATTATTTTAGTAAATATAAAACTGCTAAATACCTTTTTTCATCAGCAGTTAGAGCAGTCTTGTGACTTCTATCAGTGTCCAGCAGAGCGCATGCTAAAACTTGTAAGAAAAGTTTCCATTCTGCTCTAGGTGGATGTAGAACCCCTGACCTCTGTCTGGACAGTGCTGATTGGCCCTGTGCTGACCACATGCACTTTCCCAAGAAAAAAACCCAAAAACTTCTCTAGCAATACACACTACACTGAGCATGTGCAGAGTGACTCCACATGATATGTCTTATCAGGAGATAAGAGGGGGACAATGGAAGAAGGGGAGGATCAGAGAAGTCAGGGTCAAACAGCGTTTTTACACAATGCAGAGGATTAACCCCTTAGGTTGCACAGTGAGCAAAACAAGCATGATTTACTGCATATACAGACTGATTTTACTGTTGTGGGCTTAGTAACACTTGAAAGTATTCCCTGCATTGAAGTACAAAATATTCTACTGCCTTTTCCTCCCTCTCCCCCCAAAAACTTCCTAAGTACCTGAGCCTTCTCTTGATCCAGCGCTGTGCCCATCTACAGAAAGCAACCAAAGGGTTTGCTATGGGGGCACACACAAAAGAGGAATGGGCAATGCCAGTGGGGGACCCTAGAAGAGGAGGTGAGAGGCTGCTCTGTGCAATACCATTGTACAGAGCAGGTAAGTATACACCCTGTTCCAAATTATTATGCAAATGACATTTTTCTCATTTACCTAAATAATTGATGTAAATAACAGTCAGCATAATTCTCATGTTATCAACTATTAAGGGTACAATTCAAATTTTATTGAACAAACCTCCTAATGATAACAGTAGTTTTTTAAAACATAAAACACTTCCAATGCACTGTTCCAAATTATTACCCACAGTAAGTTTCAAAACATTTTATAGGTTGTAAAGAACTGAAAATTGTCATTTGTTGTGTTTGCAGCATATTTACTGAAATTAAAAGCTATTTCAATCAAACTTTTAACAACATTTTAACTTTTTAAATATTTTAACAGGTCACGTTACATTGTAACATAGGAACCCTTATTTGATAGCAGCTTCACAAGTCTTGCATCCATTGAACTTGTGAGTTTTTGGACAGTTTCTGCTTGAATTTGTTTGCAAGATGTCAGAATAGCCTCCCAGAGCTGCTGTTTGGATGTAAACTGCCTCCCACCCTCATAGATCTTTTGCTTGAGGATGCTCTAAAGGTTCTCAATAGGATTGAGGTCAGGGGAGGATGGAGGTCACACCATGACTTTCCCTCCTTTTATCCCCATAGCAGCCATTGATGCAGAGGTATTCTTTGCAGCATTAGATGGTGCATTGTCATGCATGAAGATGATTTTATTACAGAAAGCATAGTTCTTCCTTCTGTACCAGGGAAGAAAGTGGTCAGTTATAAACTCCACATACTTTGTAGAGGTCATCTTTACACCTTCGGGGACCCTAAAGGGGCCGACCAGCTCTGTTCCCATGATTCCGGCCCAAAACATGACTCCACCACCGCCTTGCTGACGTTGCAGCCTTGTTGGAACAGGGTGGCCGTCCACCAACCATCCACTACTCCATCCATCTGGACCATCCAGGGTTGCATGGCACTCATCAGTGAACAGGACTGTTAGTCTTTGAAAATTAGTGAAAATTAGTCTTCAAGTATTAGTCTTCTGCCCAATGCAGCTGTTTCTGCTTGTGAGCATTGGTTAGTGGTGGCCGAATACAAGGTTTATGCACAGTTGCAAGACTCTGGAGGACTCTACACCTTGATGTCCATGGGACTCCAGAGACACCAGCAGCTATTTTAGCAGCTGCTCTCTTGATCCGATGCATGGATCTGGCAGAAATCTCCCTCAAGGTGCCTTTATCTGCACGAACCCGTCTGTGCTCTGAATCAGCCACAAATCTCTTAATAGTGCGATGATCACACTTAAGTTTTCGTGAAATATCTAATGTTTTCATACCTCGTCCAAGGCATTGAACTATTTCACTCTTTTTGGCAGCAGAGAGATCCTTTTTCTTCCCCATATTGCTTTAAAATGGTGCTCTGCTTAATAATGTGGAACACCGTCCTTTAGTAGTTTTTCCTTAAATTGGGCTCACCTGCCAATCTAATTATCACAGGTGTCCGAGATTGTTTTCAGTGATCAAAAGAGCCCTGACACACAATGCTCTCCATTAGTTAAACTGAAAAACAAAATATTTCATCTTTGTGACACTTAAATAGAATATGCATAATAATTTGGAACAGGGTGTAAACCTCTTTTTTATTTTAGGAACAAAAAATGACTTGCAATCACTTTAAAATTCTGTGAGTACATTATAAATTGTGGAGTACATTATGGGACATAGGAGAATTTGTTAAGTACACAGTGATATTCAGCTGTCTTCAGGAGAATGGACACTGGCAAACAAGAGCTGTAAGAACAGGTCAGAATAACCCCTCCACCTCTCAGCATGCCTCAATTTTCTAGCAAGCAAAAATAAGAGTGGATCATAAGAAACAGGAAAGGGTACCATGAATCATTCCAAGAGAAGGATTTTACGGTAAGGCAAATATTCTATTTTCTTAACTGTATAAATTGTGACACTAGAGAAGTAGTCAGGTACATAGGGATGTCCCTACGTAGCCCCACCTAAGGGTGCACCATACAGTCAAAGAAGGCCAATGTGACTACAAAATCCAGCAGCTTATTGGGGGGGGGGGGGGGGGGGAAGAGTCATCAGATTACAGAGCTGCCTCAAGAAACTTATGATTAAAGTCAGCATCAGCTAAGGACTTAGACATCCATCTACATGAACCTGTGAACACAAGACCAGGTGGCAACCTTACAAAGACGCCTGATGCTGAAAAGCAAAAAAGGCACTGACTGACCTAGAAGAGACCCGTAACAGGAAATGAACAGACTTTGTACCTGGGAGAACAAGCTTGAATGATAAATTTTGCCTTTTATGGACACCTTCAGAATGTACAAAAAGAGTCGGACTATCATAGGGAAGCTGTATCTGAGAGATAATCTGAACAGCATATAACACATCCAGGCTTGGAACTCAGAAAACCTAGTCTTGGTGTAGCACAAGAAATGTTTCCTTACAAGACCGCTAATTCAGAAACCCTCCGCATGGAAGTAATGGCAATGGGAAAAGCAACATTGTAAGTAAGGGTAGAGAAATATCCCTATTAAGCTTAAAGACTGAAACCCAATGGAGTCACTGGGGAACCCACAGGAAGAATAATGTAAGTGACACAAAGCCTTCACTAAGGAGTGCGAATCAAGCAGTCTCTGGAGAAAAAAAAACTTGACCTTTGATAAGGCCAAAAGCTGTTCCAGACTAGACTGGAGAAAAGACAGGATTTGTCCCATGGAGTACTTTTGGGGTTGACACTTTTTTGCCTCGCACCAAGAGAAATATGCTTTCTAGGTGCAATGGTACTTTACTGGAAGTCGATTCCTAGCTTTCAAGAGCATAGGGATAACCACAGTCCCTCAGAACCTGGGCTTCAACAGGCCTTCATTGCCAGTAATCTGAGAAGCAAGGTGACAATTCAATCATTACAGCAGAAGATCCAGACGAACTGGGAGGACCCACTGAGAGCCTGCCAGAAGTCTGACAAGGTCCAAGTACTACGTTCTTCTGGCCAGTTCAATGAAATGAAAATCAGGGGAATACCCTACATCTCGATCGTGCGAAGTAGATGAGAGAGAAACTTAAGAGCAGGGAAGGCATAGATCAGACTGAACTGATCCCAGAGTCACCAGAGCATTCACTGCAAAGGATGCAGAGGATCCCTGGACCTGGGGACCACCTTGGTCAGTTTGTTGTTAAACCTGAAAGTCTGCAACATAGTTCTACAAACAACTCAAAGTGAATAGACCACACTCCTGAGTCCATACATTGATGACTGGGAAAGTCTGCATGCCAACTGTCCATGTCTGAATGTGCATGTCAAACAGCACCACAATGTGCTATTCTGCTGAAGTCAGAATTTGTTGGCTTCTCGTTCAGCTGCGAGGCTTCTAGTTCCCCCTTGATGGTTGACGTATGCCACTATTGTGGCACTGAACAACTGAATCTGGGTTGGATGATCTTGCAGTGGAGAGATCCAGGACTGCAGAACAACCTTTGATCTCCAGGATACCGATTAGGAGAAAAGCTTTTCCTGGCGACAAACTACTTGTACTTCTCCCCAGCCTGATAGGCTGACATCTCTCATTAGAACCTTTCTAGACCAGTGGGAGGAAGGGCTTCCTCAACTCCAGTGCTGGACTCATAACCCACTATGTCAGGGAAAGTCTGGTACTGCAGGTCACGAGACTGAGCTCTCCTGTTTCATGCAGCTAGCATGTTACGTTGCAACATTCTGGAGTAGAATTGGGCATATGGGGCTGCATAGGTAGTGTACAGACCAAAGGGAAGAGTAAAAAATGTGTAATGTTGCAATCTCACTGTAAAACAGTACCTCTTGGTACATTGGGTACATGTAAGTAGTCATCCTTAAGGTCAACAGAAGCTTGGAGTCCCTCCCCCCCTTCAGATACAGTATAGGCTAGATGTCCCTCTTCTCCTTGGGAACAATGAAAAACTTTGAACAGAAGTCTTGGAACCATTTTTTTAAACAGCAATGACCTCCTGCGAGATGAGCGATTTGCACGTCTGCCAGTCTGTGCAGGGACATTGGTAAGTGTGACAACATGAAGCAGAGTGGAGGTAGAGACCAAAATTCCAGCTTGTAGCCTTCTAGATACCATGCTCTAGATCCAAACATCCTAATCATCTTAGAACAAAATGGCTGCAAAGACCATCTTTGAAACCTGGGGGTGTTCTTCATTACGAGGAGGACTTGTTTGTGTAACTGGAGGACTTGGAGGTCTAGACCCTAAGACAGAACAGAGTACACAATGCCTTGAAAGCCTGGAAGAAAACAAATAAACCCTTCGTAGGCTCAGAAGAAGCGGTTTCCCAGACGGAAATTTTACTTTCTTTCTGAAGAAAGAATACTTTTCCAGGGATTTGCCAAAGAGACACTTTCCATCAGAGTGCATATGCAGTGCTTCTTGCACTTAAGTTCAGCAGACCATGAAGTACACCAGAGGGTCCTCCACGAGTATAGCGAAAGAAATCTCATTCTGGATATTTGACAAATAATATCCCATAGCTCATCAATGCAATGGAGCAGGATCATAAGCAAGAGCTTCAGTTGTTGGAAGACATAAGGATCGATCAGGATAGAACCAGGATTCCGAGACACGCCCTTGGACAAGACAGCTAAAGTCTGGCAGATCAACATGGCTACAATTACAGGTTTCAGGGCAGGCCTGCAAAAGGTCTTGAAAAGGGCTTCCAGCCTTTTATTCACAGGGTCTTTAAAGTGGTTGTAAAGGCTGAAGGCTTTTAACATTCATGCATTCTCTGCATTAAGGTAAAAAAAAAAAACGTTCTATTGTCAGCTCTCCCCTCCAGTTACCTGATCAAGATCTCATTCCAGTGCTGTACCCCAGAGAAGCAGCACTGCTCTCTCCCTCCTCAATGGACTCAGTGAGAGCAACAAGAGCCAATTGCTCCTGCTGCTGTCAATCAAATCAGTGATGAGGGGAGCAGGGGGCTGGGCCAAACTGCACTGTGTGTGTCTATAGACACTCATAGCCCAGCTTGGGGTCAAGCCTGCATATGTGCCCTATATGAAGCAGTTTCCTGGTGGTACACGGAGAAGAGGAGGAGCCAGGAGTTCTGGCAAGGGACCCTAGAAGAGGAGAATCGGGGCTGCTCTGTGCAAGATCATTGCACAGAGCAGGCAATTATGATATGTTTGTTAATTAAAAAAAAAACCTTACAATTACTTTAAATATTGGGTTATCGTTTACAGGAATGGTTTAACTTTTTAGCCTAGATAGCTGGGTCCACAACAAAGACAATCCACTTTTTTTAGGAACCGCAAAAGGGCTTGGGAAGGGTGAAAATTTCCATGAAGACAATTCCGGTGTGGTCTTGGACTTATTGTGCTCTTCAGACGTTTTTCTTTTGCATATAAACATATAGAACTGATGTGGTGTTACCTGAAACAGGCGGCTCATGCAAAGCAACCTAAAATAGAGATGAGCTAAAACTGTTTTGTACATTAGAAGGCCAAAAAAAACTTCAAACCTCTTTCGCCGTCCTAACCTAAAAAGTTTCCATTTAACTAAAAGTAAAGGTAACTTGCTTTTTCAATCAAGAACTTTTGTCTCTGGTGTCCTTTGACAGCTCTTTAGTCTTGCCCATGGTAGTAGTTGGCATCTGACTGTGGGGTGGACAGGTGTCTTTAAAGAGCTCAGACAGATGCTACTAAGTTAGATTAATGAGTGGAGTAGTAGAGGTGGACTTTTTAAAGGCACAGTAACAGGTCTTTGAGAGCCAGAATTCTTGCTGTTTCTTATGTTCAGCAGTGCAAGACAAATAAATTCTTTAAAAATCATACAATGTGATTTCCTGAATTTTTTTTTAATTCTGTCTCTCAGAGTGGGAATGCACCTACAATGTGAATTTCAGACCCCTCCATGATTTCTAAGTGGGAGAACTTGCAAAATCGCAGGGTGTTCAAATACTTCTGTTCCTCACTGTACATCACCAAAATGTATCCAGCATTTTGCAGTGCCTTGTCTTTCTTATGACTTCGATGAGGGTCAGATCACATTTGAAGTCAATTACTGCACAATATCCTCACTTTTTAAGTGTGTGTGTAGATATAGTATGTACAGTGGATATAAAAATCTACACAAAAAGTTTGTTGTTCAACTGAGTTGCACAGTTTATAGGTTACATTAACGGTGGAAAAAGTTCTGAAATTATTTATCTGATTTTCTTACATCACAGAAACCTGACATTTTAAGAGCGGTGTGTAGACCTTTTATATCCACTATATATATCTATATATGCTCACACACATACACTTGTGTATTGTATACAGCTTTATTGCAAAAAACTTTGCTGTGCACTAAAAGTCCAAGCTTTCAGATCAACTGTAACCTTCAGCCATGTATACTATAGGACATGAAGTGGTAAGCAACTGATTGGAAATTCCCAGGTTCAGATCAATACTTCACTGATTTTTCAGTCGTTATCATCCATGTACAACTTTGGCACTATATACCGTATTTTCCGGCGTATAAGACGACTTTTCAACCCCTGAAAATCTTCTGAAAAGTCGGGGGTCGTCTTATACGCCGGTGCGAGCCGGGTGTCAGGGCGGCACTTTTTCGAGGGGCAGTGCGGCGCTGCCCCCCCTCCTCCTCCAACGGACACTAAGTACAGGGGTGGGCAGAGGGGCTGCTGTACCTTACCTGGCTCCGGTCCCGGTCAGTTCGGCAGCTCGATGGTCACGCGGCCGCTCGGCTCCGCCTCCTCACCGGTGATTGGGCGCCAGCACTGGAAAGGCACACAGACGACCAATCACCGGCGAGGAGGCGGAGCCAAGCGGCCCCGCGAAAATCGAGCGGCCGAACTGGAAGAAGGAGCAGCCGCTCCTCTCCCCCACTGACACCAACGATGAGGCACTGTTCCTCCCCCACTGACACCAACGATGAGGCACTGTTCCTCCCCCACTGACACCAACGATGAGGCACTGTTCCTCCCCCACTGACACCAACGATGAGGCACTGTTCCTCCCCCACTGACACCAACGATGAGGCACTGTTCTCCCCACTGATACCAATGATGGGGCACTATTCCTCCTCCCCACTGACACCAACGATGGGGCACTATTCTCCCCACTGATACCAATGATGGGACACTATTCCTCCCCCACTGACACCAATGATGGGGCACTATTCCTCCCACTGATACCAACGATGGGGCACTATTCTCCCCACTGATACCAATGATGGGGCACTATTCCTCCCACTGACACCAATGATGGAGCACTACTTCTCCCCACTGACACCAACGATGGGGCACTATTCCTCCTCCCCACTGACACCAATGATGGGGCACTATTCTTCCCACTGACACCAATGATGGGGCGCAATTCCTCCCACTGACACCAATGATGGGGCACAATTCCTCCCACTGACACCAATGATGGGGCGCAATTCCTCCCACTGATACCAATGATGGGGCGCTATTCCTCCCACTGACACCAATGATGGGGCGCTATTCCTCCCACTGACACCAATGATGGGGCGCAATTTCTCCCACTGACACCAATGATGGGGCGCTATTCCTCCCACTGACACCAATGATGGGGCGCTATTCCTCCCACTGACACCAATGATGGGGTGCTATTCCTCCCACTGATACCAATGATGGGCCGCTATTCCTCCCACTGATACCAATGATGGGGCACTATTCCTCCCACTGACACTAATGATGGGACACTATTCCTCCCACTGACACCAATGATCGGGCACGATTCTTCCCACTGACACCAATGATGGGGCACTATTCCTCCCACTGACTAATGAGGGAGCACTATTCCTCCCACTGACTGACTAATGATGATGGGGCACTATTCCTCACACACTGACACTAATGATGGGGCACCATCATTGGTGTCAGTGGGAGGAATAGTGCCCCATCATTGGTGTCAGTGGGAGGAATAGTGCCCCATCATTGGTGTCAGTGGATGAAATAGTGCCCCATCATTGGTGTCAGTGGGAGGAGTAGTGTGCCTTATCATTGGTGTCAGTGGGAGGAATAGCACCCCATCATTGGAATACCATACTGAAATAGCATACCATATTGAAATCAAATCTGATGTTTTTTCATTTTTATTTGGTGTGCGTTGGAAGAGGGGTAGTCTTATACGGCGAGTATAGCTCAAACCCTATTTTTTTAACAGGAAAAGTAGGGGGTCGTCTTATACGCCGGAAAATACAATACATTTTATGGATGAAAAGTTGGATATGCAGTTTGAGCTTCATTCTCTATGAAATCAGCTGTGACCTTACCATTAAAACATTGGATCCACTTTCTTCTCTCATCTCTTTGCCCTCCTACATCAAACATACTGTAAAAAGGAAAGATATAATACATTATCAGAAGGAAAGAACAGTCAATGTTCTAAGATTCTTGTGTCTTTGTCAATTATTTGTGTTGCACATAACAACCAATCAGGTAAAAGCTACTACTTTGTGAGTAGATTAGAAGGTGAAACAGAAAATCAGATTGAATGTTGTGGACATCACATTGTAATGAGATGTTTGTATTTTCCATGTTGTTATCAAAAATCCCTAATTGGCACCTATCATGGTGACAATAATCAAATGAGCTTCTATTATAAAAAGATCTTAATTATTGAAACATGAACTGTCTGGAAATCATTGCATAATGTCAGCATTATAAAAAATGATGGAAAATATACATGGCAGGTCTGATTGAGCAGTATACAGTGACAGTAAAATGTGTAACCCAAATCTCTATTTTGCTGAAATCATTTGAATGCTATCTTTAACAATCATTCTGAATTCAGAAATCTGAAGCTGAAGTTTTGCCTGGTGAGCAATGGGAGATGGCTCTTAAAGCAGTGCACATAGCTCCTTAAATACATCTCAACGCTTGTCCCAGTAATATATACTGTTGAGGGTACACTACACCCCTTTCAAACAATTACAAATGGGCATCCTTAAAGAATCACTATGTCCCATATGTAGCAGGGATCATGGCACTCTGATACTCGTAATGGCACTGTCTGAAATTGCACAGATACTGGGAGGCCGTTCTTAATGCCAGTAATCAAGCATTCCAAACTACCTTTACTCTGGATCCTAATGTGTTTTAGAGCCGATGAGGTGGTGACGGACCAGTTTGAGAGGGGGGACGGTCTCTACTCTATTGTAAAAGCACTTCCCCTCCTAATCTCTAAGAATGGGTGGAACATATGGGTGCTACTCTCAGATATGAGCGGGTTATTTTATCAACATATGGGTTGTCTGGATAAACATAATAGGGTCTGAGGTGGCTGACCGGACCAGCAGACCTAGTCATGGATAGATTATTATGTTGATATCTTTGTATCTATATCTACTGTATCCTACCATGTACAGGCGTAGCCTGTTTCAAGTGCACAGCAGGATGCGGGGGTAATTCTCAGTGACTCTGCGGTAGGGCATGGATTTTGACTAGTACTTCCTTGGCATGCTCTTGGTTACTATATCTTTGAAACCCCATTGTAACAATCTAGTCTCTTTATGACTCTGAACGTTCTGGAACATGCTGTTTTGTATATATGCAATTGTTTCAGTAAAGTTCTTTTTGAAAAACAAAAAAAACAAAAATAAACTGAAATTTAGGTATGGCTTTTTTTGCATAACTACATTGGTCAAGCCTGGCCAATCCCTGTGGATGTTGGAAATCACTGTAGTAGGTTACAGCTACTGCAGTAATCACCTCTTGCTTCCAGGTCCCGTGCTGAGAGGCTATCCTGCTGCTTAGTTAACACGGGGGGTCACTTGCTTGGCATGGACACCATTTGGAGAACACTTTGCACCTTCCCAATGAATGCAAAGCGTTATCTGATTGGACGAGAAGGAGAGTTGGGGCAGTGACATCTGCACATCTAAAACTATGTAAATAGTAGTAAAAAAGTGAGCGCTGACCAAAAAACAGCAGCTGTGCACTCAAAGCAACCAATGTATGCTTATAAACAGAATAGTAGAACAGTGCAGCGCTAGTGGAAAATAGAAACAGATGAAATAAAATACACATATGAAATAGAAAATTCTAGGATGCCCATAGTGTAGTAATATAGAAAAATTGCTTTATTGTAAACAAAGTAGCGGTTTGTAAAACATAAATCATCCAGGTATAGAAAGTGAACTGACCCTAGGAGATTCAAAGATGGCCGCCGGGCCTCCACGTGGCTCCGGCGGCGTAGCATCATGACGTCCGGGCTCCTCCTTACGCGTTACGTGCTCACGCACTTCACCAGAGGAATGGAACCAGTCCATTCTGACCAGACCTTTCCCTTTCTGATGAGGATCCTCGGGATATGATATACACCGCTTATATTTATTTACTTTCTGGTGAGTGCGCATTTCTGCTATTCTTCACGGAGCACCACCATTGATTGCTACCAGTCACCTGGCACGATTATCATGATACAGACTTTTTACTAGAATTTTCAATATCATATGTGTATTTTATTTCATCTGTTTCTATTTTCCACTAGCACTGCACTGTTCTACTACATCTAAAACTAGAACCAATGTTTTGGTTGAAGTTTCACTTTAAACTAATTGCAGTAGTCTCTCTTTCCCCCTTAATTGTCATATCTGTGTGTAAAGGTTTTAAGAGCAAGATGTATGATTTGTTTTTTGAAGCTTACTGATACAAGCTTACTAATTGAAATAAAATCTTACTGTGGGAATGCATTAAAAAAAAAAAAAAAAAAGTTTACTTACTGGAAATTAACTTTGTCTACTTGAAATCGCGTTTCAAAAATCCCTGATGTCAAAACTCTGCATCTTAATAAGTCCTGTAAAGAATAAAACTGGTTACAGACAAGTTTTTCAAAGCACAAATATTACAAACTTCTATAATAATGAAATGATAGTATTAACGGTTTTCTTTGTTGGAGAGAGGGTCACCATTCTCAGATTCTTCAGTGATGGGAGCAGAAACTGGGGCTTAATAAGGAGCTTCAGCCATTTTTGTTTTTATTATGTCAGCAGATACGAAAAAACTGTAGCTGCTGACTTTTAATAAACGCTCAACTGTCCCAGGATCCAGCGATGTGCTCACCTGAGCCGTCCCTTCCTTCCGTCTTCTGCCTCCAGTGCTGGCATCTTAATTGTGACAGCTTGCGGCTTTACAGCCGGGTGAGCGCTGTGCATTGTGAATGGACCCGCAGTCTTCTGGGATCTGACACGTGCCTCAGAAGACTGCGGGGAGGGAGTAAGGGAGGAGAAGTTCTGCTTTCTATCGCCTAGGCGGTCGGAGTGGAAGTGGGAGCGGGTACCTGTCAAAATCAGGTATTTGCCCCCCCCCCCAAAAAAAAAGGTGCCATTCGGGGAAGAGGGGGGAGCCTTAAAGAGGAACTTCCCCTTTTGGACGGTGCTCCCGCTTCAAAATGAAGTCAGCAGTGGGGAACAAAGCTTTTAAATGTTGCGAGATATGATAGTAATTATCAATTCAACATATTGCTACAAAATTAATGAATTCAAGGGCAATACTTTTGGAACGCATGTCATAAACATACTGAAATGACTTAAAGGGCCTGTGTCAGGGGGCTTTTGTTACAAAAAAAGTCTATGAAAATGGCAAACCCACTTGAAGCAGATCAACTGCACAAACAATGAATTCTAAATCATCTCAGAAGCGTCTCAAACAGATTATATCAACCGAAGCCCAAAGCCCATTGACCCAGGCCCTAATGATCTATAGAGTAAGTTATTAGGATCCTTATTGTGTAAGCCACTTTTTACTTCCAAATTTAAATGGTGTAAAACAAATTACTAAAGATACATGAAAAAAATATTCTCAAATGCAAACATTTAGGCTTGGTTCACACTGCTGCGACTTGAAAGTCGTGCGACCTTTAAGTGTGACTTGACGCGACTTTGATGTTATGTTACTTTAGTTAAAAACCCTCTGAAGTTGGATACTGTTGCATCAAAAAGTCGCATAGATTAGGACAATCCTTTTGACTTTTGTGGTTTACCATTGCAGTCTATAGCACTGAAGTTGCACCAAAGACGCAGAAAAGTAGTGCAGGAACTTCTTTTTAAGTCGCTGCAACTTGAGTCGCATTGATTATGACGGCACCCATTAAAATGAATATATTTTGACTTGCCATGAGAATTTATGTGTCACGAGTCACATCAGTGTGAATCGGGGCTTACATGGAAATCATCTATGTGATGAGGGCCCTTCCAGTGCAGCAGCTTACATAGTTTTAATGATGCCAGGCTGCTTACCTGATCTGTCGGTGTGTAGTCATTTTGTCTGACGTGCTCGATTCTTTCTAGAAAGCTAAAAACAGAAGAGGAATTGCAGTCAGTGCAAAAATAGCATATTCTGGTACTGCAAGCCAGTTTTGTAGTATATCACTATAAGGCCTCTTGCACATGAACCTAATAATTTACTGATATTTATATGTAGGATCTTGCTGGCAGAAAGATCTTAAGTATAAAAGCAGGTTATGTTTTGTAAAATCCTTACATATACGTGCTTACAGGCATGTAAGGGTGCACATGCGTACACATGCGTACCATTCTTCACTGTGTTCTAGCTGCCAGGGTTGCAATTTATGCGTATAACCTTGTACAGTGGATATAAAAAGTCTACACACCCCTGTTAAAATGTCAGGTTTCTGTGATGTAAAAAAATGAGACAAAGAGAAAGAATTTCAGAACTTTTTCCACCTTTAATGTGACCTATAAACTGTACAACTCAGTTGAGCAACAAACTGAAATCTTTTAGGTGCAGGGAAGTAAAAATAAAAAACTAAAATAATATGGTTGCATAAGTGTGCACACCCTTAAACTAATACTTAGTTGAAGCACCTTTTGATTTTATTACAGCACTCAGTCTTTTTGGGTGAGTCTATCAGCATGGCACATCTTGACTTGGCAATATTTGCCCACTCTTCCTTGCAAAAACACTCCAAATCTGTCAGATTGCAAGGACATCTCCTGTGCACAGCCCTCTTCAGATCACCCCAGAGATTTTCCATCGGATTCAGGTCTGGACTCTGGCTGGGCCATTCCAAAACTTTAATCTTCTTCTGGTGAAGCCATTAATTTATTGATTTGGATGTATGCTTTGGGTCGTTGTCATGCTGAAAGATGTAGTTCCTCTTCATGTTCAGCTTTCTAGCAGAAGCCTGAAGGTTTTGTGCCAATATTGACTGGTATTTGGAACTGTTCATAATTCCGTCTACCTTGACTAAGGCCCCAGTTCCAGCTGAAGAAAAACAGCCCCAAAGCATGATGCTGCCACCACCATGCTTCACTGTGGGTATGGTGTGCTTTTGGTGCTGTGCAGTGTTGTTTTTTTTTGCGCCAAACATATCTTTCTGAATTATGGCCAAAAAGTTCAACCTTGGTTTCATCAGACCATAATACATTTTCCCACATGTTTTTGGGAGACTTCAGATGTGTTTTTGCAAAATTTAGCCAGGCTTGGATGTTTTTCTTCATAAGAAAAGGCTTCTGTCTGTCTTTCCACTCTACCCCATAGCCCAGACATATGAAGAACACGGGAGATTGTTGTCACATGTACCACACAGCCAGTACTTGCTAGATATTCCTGCAGCTCCTTTAATGTTGCTGTAGGTCTCTTGGCAACCTCCCAGACCAGTTTTCTTCTTGTCTTTTCATCAATTTTGGAGGGACGTCCAGTTCTTGGTAATGTCACTGTCACTGAAATTCTTTTGTACCCTTCTCTTGACTGATATCTTTTAACAATGAGATCCCTCTGATGCTTTGGAAGCTCTCTGCGGACCATGGCTTTTGCAGTAGGATGCAACTAAGAAAATGTCAGGAAAGACCTACTAGAACAGCTGAACTTTATTTGGGGGTTAATCAGAGGCTCTTTAATTGATGGCAGGTGTGTACTGACTCCTATTTAGCATGATTTTGAATGTGATTGCTTAATTCTGAACACAGCTACATTCCCAGTTATAAGAGGGTGTGCACACTTATGCAACCACATTATTTTAATTTTTATGTTTACTTCCCTCCTCTAAAAGATTCCAGTTTTTTTTTCAATTGAGTTGTACAGTTTATAGGTCACATTAAAGGTGTAAAAAATGAGACAAAGATAAATAATTTCAGAACTTTTTCCATCACAAAAAGCTGACATTTTAACAGGGGTGTGTAGACTTTTTATATCCACTGTATATAATTGATAAATGTGTGAATTATTTTATTTCTTTTAAGGTTCTGAATTTATTGCTGTATTGCTAATCTTTACGCGGCTGTGTGCACTGTCCCATAGACAACAATGCACCTGTGTTCAGATCCATAGAAACAACCACCAAAAAGAAAAAAAACCCCACACTATGCAGCTACAAATGTGGCCTTTTTTGCCTGTGTGCAACAGTTTACTGCAGTAGATAACCACTAGATGGCGGAATATTTACTTCTGTGCCATATGCAGCCTCCCTGCACTGCAGCATGACAAGGCTGACTTTCCTGGATACCTATAGGTAAGGCAGTAACTTATACACAGAGCTCTATAGGTAGACAGAAACTGTGCACAAGGAGAATGAAGGAAGAGGGACACAATCTAAACAAACATATCAAAATCTACACTTTATGAAGTTCACAATTCGCTACACATACTAATGAAGCTTTGTTAGTGTTGGCATCCCGGCACAGGGCAGGTTCTCCTGGAGTTTGCACTCTTGGCACATTTTTCTATGTGCCAGTAAAACACAGCAGGCTTATCATGGCAGCAAATAACAGATTATGGTTATTTGCATATATATTAAATCAATTTGATAGTGAACCTCCATCTTTGTGCATTTGTGTCTTCTAATCCAGACCTCCAGAACATTTGGTATAACTAAAGGCAACATCTTTTTTTCCCTTTTACTTCCTGTTTCAGCTATGGGACAGGAAGTGAAAGTAAATCTCCCTATTGGGACACAGACGGCAAATAAAAACCTGACAGGAGTCATAACCTTACCCTATCCAACATTAAAAGAAAAGGTTTTTGTAACTTCTACTTAGCAAGGAGACAGCTGCTTTGCTAGCAAGCACATGTCTCCGACTCCCAGCACTTGGCCATCCTCCCTTTCACCCAGACCTGACCGATTTGAACACTCTGCACAAAGGCGATAACAGCAAAGTGAATGATGAAAATGGGATATAAATAAATAAAAAACAGAACAAAATGTTGGACTTTACTGGCATGGAAGGGAAACACATGTATACACATAATATATATATACATATATATATATATATATATATATATATATACACAGCTGTGTTCAAAATAATATCAGTGTGTTGGAAGAAAGTGAATAAAGCTCAAAATCCTTCTAATAGCTTTTATTTCCATACACACAAATGCATTGGGAACACTACACATTCTATTCCAAATCAAAACATGAAGAAAAATATATATCAAATTTGTGTTGTTCCTCTAAAAAAAATTGAAGAGAAGTGAATATTAGACTGTTCAAAAAAATAGCAGTGTTTGTATTCTTCTTTACAAACTCAAACATTCACTATAAAACTGAAAAATGGTTGAAGATTTTGCTTTCCTTTGACTCACTTAATATTTAGTTGTATAAGCACTGTTTCTGAGAACTGCTGTACATCTGTGTTGCATGGAGTCAACCAACTTCTGGCACCTGTGAACAGGTATTCCAGCCCAGGATGATTGGACTACATTCCACAGTTCTTCTCTATTTCTTGGTTTTTTGCCTCAGAAACTGCATTTTTGATGTCACCCCACAAGTTTTCTATTGGATTAAGATCCGAGGATTGGGCTGGCCACTCCATAAGGTCAATCTTGTTGGTCTGGAACCAAGATGTTGCGTGTTTACTGGTGTGTTTGGGGTCATTGTCTTGTTGGAACACCAATTTCAAGGGCATTTCCTCTTCAGCATAAGGCAGCATGACTTCTTCAAGTATTCTGATGTATTCAAACTGATCCATGATCCCTGGTATGCGATAAATAGGCCCAACACCGTAGTATGAGAAACATCCCCATAACATGATGCTTGCGCAAGCATGCTTCACTGTCTTCACAGTGTACTGTGGCTTGAATTCAGTGTTTGGGGGTCGTCTGACAAACTGTCTCCGGCCACTAGACCCAAAAAGAACAATCTTACTTTCATCAGTCCACAAAATGTTGCTCCATTTCTCTTTAGGTCGGTCAATGTGCTCTTTGGCAAACTGTAACCTCTTCAGCACATGTCTTTTTTCAACAGTGGGTCTTTGCGGGGGCTTCTTGCAGATAGCTTGGCTTCACATAGGCGTCTTCTAATTGTAACAGTACACACAGGTAACTTTAGACCTTCTTTGATCTTCCTGGAGCTGATTGTTGGCTGAGTCCTTGCCATTTTGGCTATTCTTCTATCCATTCGAATGGTAGTTTTTCGCTTTCTTCCACGTCTTTCAGGTTTTGGTTGCCATTTTAAAGTATTTGCGATCATTTTAGCTGAGCAGCCTATCATTTTCTGCACTTCTTTATATGTTTTCCCCTCTCCAATCAACTTTTTAATCAAGGTACACTGTTCTTCTGAACAATGTCTGGAACGACCCATTTTCCTCAGAATTTCAGAGAGAAATGCACTGTAACCAGCATGTACAACATGTGCTGCCTTCCTTCCTTAAATAAGGGCAATAATTGCCACCTGTTTTTCAAAGAATGAATGACCTCACTAATAGAACTCCACACTGCTATTATTTTGAACATGCCCCTTTCAATTAGTGATTCAATTACACAGAATCAGCAGCATGCATGTCATGACTGTTGGGTCTGTTGGATTTCTATTACTCTACTACACCTGCTAGTAAATTATTTGCCATGTAGAAATATCATTTCTACCAAAAACAGTGATTGATCAGGTTAGTGATGTCTGACTGCTATTATTTTGAACACAACTGTATATATGCGAAAATACAAATTTTTTTGTTATACTGAAAAGTCATCTTAAAATCTCCGTAATTAAGTTAAAAAAAGAGAGCTGCTCAAAATAAATTCAAATGCTTCCTACTGCTGACTCATTTTACCACACAATGGAGATGGATATATTGAAATTTGATTGCATTTAATAGACAACAATAATCTTGGTTGTGAGTCCTCATGGGTTAACGCATGTTGATGAAATGCAGAAAAAAAATGCACTGGACTGCATCTAGTGTGAACTAGCTCTAAGTGCTTTTTCATACTAGATGGAGTCCAGTGCGTTTTTTTTTCTGCATGAAAAATGCATATACAGGGTTTACCATATATGCCAATGACCCTAGTTCATACCAGTTCAGTCAGTTTCAGGTGCAAAAAAAAAAAG